GGGCTGCAGGTGATTGGCTGCTCTGGGCAACGGTGACATTTAGACTAGCAGATCCTCCACAACACCTATCCCAGTAATAGGGCTCCGATCTGTATTGTATGGGGGCACAGGAGGCCAGCTGAGGCTGCTTAGAATTAATGCTGAGGAAGGTGTCCACTTCTAATCACCAACTAATAATAATAAACTGATCTATGTACTGATGTACTGATCTGGTATTATGCTTGCTGAAATGTGTTAATTTATTAGTTTTTTTATATTTACTGCTTTGTAAAGAACATTTCTTTGACCTATTGACCTATACAACACTGCCAGTAGGTTACCCTATAGGGAGTCGCCAGTAGGTTACCCCAGGGCTTGACAAATCCTAGGCACCAGGTCGTCCAGGTGACCAGAAACGGCATCCCGCCAGCACCAGTAACGAGCAACTGCCACCGCCCAAGCAGATAGCTCCTTTTTGAATGCCCTCACACCACCCGCCACCAGGGAGCTCGTCACACAGCATATCCCTTCCCTGTACAGGCCAGAAATCTCTATCACTATCTGGTCACATGATGCCAGCTTTCCTCTGTGTGTAAGCATGTGCCCGACTAGCAAGTTGGGTATGGAGGGGTATCTTGTGTTTTTAGGGGGGTGCAGAGGAGTGCACTGTGGTGTCATGGTGGAGCAGAGGGGTAACCTAGCAAAGAGGTGAGCAGAGTCCAAACCACATAGCATGCCACACACAACACACACACCAAAAACCCCAGCCCCAACAACCCCAAGAGTCAAATCCTCCCACCCCAAGAGCCCCAAATGGACATGCATCCCCTGAAACCACCCAGTGAGAAAGACGTCCCACCCAGCAGCATGCCCAGCTCCAGTCCCCTCCATGTGCAAATCCAAGATCTGCCCCCGAAAACAGCCTTGCTAGTCAAAAAAAACTGGCTCCTAACTTTTTTTTAGCTGGCTCCTAGATTCAAAGCAAATTTGTCAAGCCCTGATATAAATAATATTTTAAGAATAGAGTTCACATACAGAATCTATATATTGGATGCTACTGTCATTGTATTTAGCAAAACTGGTCATGTCATTTGTTGTTGTTAAGTGTTCTTGCATGGCAAGACCACTTCCTGTTATCTCACATATATATTCTTATTATTATAGCCAAATTTACCACCCTAACTCCTCCCACAGTTTTTACACTATATAGATAGTAATATACCGAAACGTGCGGATTGTTCCCGATTGGTGTGCTATTACTTTGTGGAATGTTTCGCCGAATGGTTCACGAAATATTGGCGTTTTTGTGGTGAAATTGGTCCCATAGGAATGAATGGTGGAATGTTCAAAACTAGAGTAGGAGCTGACAAAAGCTAGAGTGTGAGATGAAAAATCAGGACATGATTTATAAACTGCCATCACTCCCTCATTTTCAAGCCCACCTACACAAATCTTATATCAAAACGTTTAGCTATCCTTGCTGCCACTGAAAATGTCCACGGCTAAGCAATAGTCCTGATAGTTTTCACAATATGACCATTTGTTTGCAACTCACGCCGCCCATTGACATTCATTGAAACTCCACTCTAGCCACCTCAAATTGGAAGGGCAATTTCTAAACTGCGACTGTGCCTTCATTTTAAATATTTCAGAGACAAACTATGCATCAAAATGTAGGTCTGGGTCTTGTGATTCTTGTAGGATTTATAATTTTTAAACTACAACCGTTTGAAGATGGCAACCGCCAGTGAAGTGAGCAAGTTGGAGCAGTTTGTTTTTAACCGCTCTTCTCTGCCCTTGCTGTAGAGTGAGTTGCCATAGGAACCCAGGTGTGTGAGCAGGCAGCAGAGTGACAAAAGCTAGAGTGTGAGCTGAAAAATCAGGACATGATTTCTAAACTGCCACCACTCCCTCATTTTCAAGCCCTAGACTACTGGTGGAGGCAAGAACACTTCACACAATTTCCCCAGAAACTCGATTGTATTTGCTCTGCTCAGATTTGACTAATCTGTCCAGAAAGAAGACAACATTTCAAATTAAAATTCAAGTTAAATTTTCCACCGTGACCTGATCTTCTTTCCTAATTGCAGAAATAATAAACAGAGACCCCAGGCACATTCATTAACTGCTGTCCTGGTCTTACATTTTTTTTTTATTTCAGAGAGTACATAATCTCCCTGTTACAGAAAACACAATTTAACACCAGAAGTCAACACCTAACCTTAAGTAGAAGTCAAGGCAAATATTTATATATATTATAACCCGTCAGTTTTCTTTTCTTTGCCAAATATGTGCCCAATTGGGGATATTTACCTTCACTGTCTGTCCAATGACTAAAACAGGAAGTGAGAGGAAATTCCTCCAAAGTGGGGGTAAACCCTGGTTGTCACCAGAACTAGTGTCCCCATTGGAAGATTTCCCCTATATGCTTGTGCTGGTAACAACCCAAAATTTTGGATTTTCTGCATTTTCAATGAGAGCGGTAACCATGACAATCTCCCTAATGGGGGCACAGACAGCAATGATAACCTGACAGGTGTTCTTTTCCATCTCCACTCTGTCCAAAACAAAAAAAAAAGTTTTGCTTTAGATATATTTTAGTGGCTCGCTCACACATGTCCATTGAGCTATGTTCTGCATAGATTAAAGTAGAACTATAGGCAAAACTCCTTTTTTCATTTTGGATAGAGTAAGGAGGGGTTACAACTCCATCTGCGTCCCTTTGGGGAGATTTACTTCCTGTTCCATAGTTGCAAGGAAGTGAGAGGAAATCACTGCAAATTAAAGGAATTCCTTGGGGACCCCCAGGTCCCCACTGGAAAATTTCCCCTCTAATACATTTCTGGGAACAACCCAAATTTGGGATTTTCTCTTACTTTCACGCTTGATGATAATGGTAAACAGGACAAACAGAGAGGGTGAATCTCCCTGACGGGGACACAGACAGCAATAAAAACCTAATAGGTGTTATATCCATCTCCACTCCATCCAAAAAAAAAAAAAAATAAGTTTTGCCTTTAGTCATACTTTATTGCAGGCTCAACACAGGGGCACTGTCTAAAATTATTATTTTCTAAATGCCCTGTTCATGCCATAATGCAGTGTTAAACCGCAGTCTGCAGCATTAAAATGCAACATGTCTGCATTTTTATCAAAAACAACTCACTGAACCACAGCACACCACAAGACCAAAACTTGAACAAATTGTCATCTTTCTATCTTGAATAAATGTCATCATACTATTCGTTTTTTTATTTTTTTTTATTGACACTTCAATAAAATAAAAATATAACAACAAATAGTATGATGCATTGTAACAACACATCACACCGCCATTCAGTGCCCCTACACAACTTACACCAGTGCACACTCTATTTAGCATGCAGGATGAAGTAAAAAGCCCTAAGTCAGCATCTGTAGGCCTTTTTAATAAGAAACTGCAAGAAGCAAGGCTCAAACTACAGTACCCTTAAAAGTTTATTAGGATCTGCCTTGTAATGGTTTGACTTAAGACAGTAATGTATCTTGTGTGGAGTCAGGTACTATATTGTACACTTAACATGTGGTAAAATGCTATTTGATATAACAGTACAAAACTCTAAGGTGAATGACCCACTACTATCATTACACCATTACAAGCAGCCCAATGGCTTCCTCTCTGTCAACACTTGTTCAGTGCTGTCATGCAGTGCCCCATAGAAAATAGATTGTTGCACCCCCACCCGGTGCCTCCTGATGCCTTCTTAGGCTCTCCCATTCCACTGGGAAGCCTGGGACCGAAGTTAGTGGTTCTACTGACTTACCACAGAGATAACAGAAGACAAGAATTTCCCTGATCATCTCTATGGTCTAAAAAAACAGACAAAAATAAAACTTCTGGTATTACTCAGATTTAAACAAGTCTTGTGGAAGCATCTGATCAAATTGATCACGGTTTAATCAGATGCTTCTAAGGGCAGAGGAGCAATCTGGGGTCTAATAGACCCCAGATGTCTCATTAAAAAGGACCTGTCACAACCAATGTTGTTCATTCCTTGTGATAGCAATAAAGTTGTTCATAAAGAAAATATAGAGTGGCAATGTAAAAAAAAAACATTTAAATAAATTTAAAAGAAGAATGTAAAATTCCTTCACAGCGATGTGAAAGACTCATTGCCAGTTATCGCAAATGCTTTTTTGCAGTTGTTGCCGCCAAGGATGGCACAACCAGTTATTAGGTTATTAGGTTTAGGGGGTAATTACTTTTACACATAGAGCCAGAAAGATTTGGACAGATTTTTTCCCTTAATAAATTAAATTATCATTTAAAAAACTGCATTTTGTATTTACTCAGGTTATCTTTGTGTAATATTAAAATTTTCAGAGTCATTTAAATGTGACAAATATGCAAAAACATTTTTTTAAAAATCAGGATGGGGGCAAATACTTTTTCACAGCACTGTATGTATATATTTGTTGGTAGCGTGAAAGATTAAATATTCAGCTTAACACAGCTCACCTAGTTTACCTACTTCACTGGAGAATATTTTGTCGTGCTGGATGGCTTGAAAACATTAATAGCAATTCAGCAGGCTCTCTCTCACTGCGCCACCATCTGCTTGTATTCCTCCAAGCCAGGGGCGGAACTGATCATTTGGAAACTCGGGCACTGCCCGAGGGCCCGGGGTCAGTAGGGGGGAGAGATGCCCCTGGTACCTTTTTCATAGGCTTTTTTGAGTTTAGGCAAGGACACAGGGGCCCCATGATGCCCTATTGCTCAGGGGGCCCCATGAGTTGTCAGTCCGCCCCTGCTCCAAGCACTTCAGTTTATAAACCAGATATTAGCATTAGAAGGTTTGTGGATAGAAAATGTTTTCTGTAATTACCCTAGCTGAATTAAAAAAAAGATTTTACCCCTTTTGAAGTTTTATATACTGGAGTGCTATTACTTTTTTAATTAGAACCTCGTAGTCTGTTCTATTTAATTAAGGAGAGCTGGAAGAGAAAAGATAGCACCGTAAAATGAAAAAAAAAGCACTGACCTCATTTTCAGATGAGCTAGATGACAGCAGAACTTCCTGAGCGTCATAGAACTCTGTAAGGGAATCTGTGATGGACAAGCGACTCTCGTTGGACATCTGATGAACTAGAGGCTTGCTCTCTTCACGTGCGTCCTCCTGACAACCAGTTGATAAGAACAGATCATTATTTTGGACTTTATGATTAACAAATCTTCCACTGCATGATCACAGTACCAAATATCCACACAGAAAGCTGAAATAGCACTTTCACCTGCTTGTCGATATAGTGAATCAGACTTGAAAATCATAAAACTGGCCAAAAGGATTACAAATCCTTTTTTCCTCCAGAACATTTCGCATGTATATATTAGCCAAGAGTTCTGCTATAAACCATCCATTGAAATCACTGAAATCTAGATGACCATGCTATATCTGGCAGTTTGCCTTAAATAACTTGACAATAATTCTATGACTAATTTGCCTACCTGCATATTTTTCTATAGTTGTCAGGGCATATTAGGCTTTTATTTGGTGCAGCCTGCTATGTTTTTACTATAAGCTAACAAATGGAAAAAAAATGAATACTGGTATTGTATATGACAATTGCACAGGCACTGTTGATAATTGTCACTGTCAACAAGTCCACACTTGACGCAAAGTTTTGTCTTTGATTTTCTGCTTAACATAGACTCTTATTTTTTTTGTAACAGCTCAAGTTCAGTTCTTCTCTCTCTCTAGCAAATGATTATCTGTTGATAATTTTAAAAAGTCTTGCTTCCACTTGAAGTAATTCTCACTGTAGATTAAGTACTTGTAAGGCTGTTCTGCCTAGAGCCCCCTGTGGGGCTGTTCCTGTGGAAGTGGCAGATAAGGGCTTGCTGTGTAATGTGTGCAGATGCAAAAGCATCACAGCTTGTCACATCCATTCAGTCTTTGCTGGGAAGTCAGCTCCCACCTGGGAGACGTGGGCAGAAGATTACCATTATCTGAAAAATGACCTTCACTCATACAGTATTCACAAGACAGAATAAAATTGTTTATGTGACTCTCTGTAACAGTGCCAAAAGGCCACATGCCTCCCAGGTACCTAAGGGACTTGGTGACAGACAATAGTTTTTGACATGAAAATGCAGAAGTGGATTTTAAGTATGAAACAATCTTAAACTACATACAAGAAAACAAATTACCTCTTTGACTGGAAAACCACTGTTTAGTACCATGCAGGTGAACAGTCTGGTGTTTTTTTAAGGGCCTGGTGAACTAAAGGCTGATTGCAAAAGCAGTGAGGTTCTAGTGATGATTAACTTAGGTCATGCTGCAATACCATATTTCACCAGTGGTTCTTTAGTTGCAGATACCTATCCATAGGAAACTCAGGGTCTGCTTGGGGGGAGGGGCATAGGTGGGTCTTGAAAGAACAAGGGATATCCAGTTACACTGCAACTCCCCTTTAGGGCAATTTGCTACATTTAGAACATACAAAACCCACCATAGGATGCCAATATGCCACCAAACCATGGCTATAACTGTGCTTCTGTGTGCAATAGAAATCTTTCTTCCAGCTGAACAGCCAGGTCCAGCGATGTGGTTTAGGTGCCAGATGGGCTGGTTAAAGTATTCAAAAACGGATTATCTACTGGGATTTTCACGCACAACCATCTCTAAGGTTTACAGAGAATAGTGCAAAAAAGAGAAAATATCCAGTGAGTGACAGTTGTGTGGACAAAAATGACTTGCTGATGTCAGAGGAGAATGGACATTTAATTTCAGCTGCAACATTCAGATGGTAGGGTCAGAATCGTTTTACAAACGATCAGATTATCGTACAATGGCTTAGAAAGAGGTATTTTTCATATGATTTTCTGATCGTGTACTAGGCTTAAGAAATAAACATAAACAAAAGGCAGAGGTGCATGGACCTAAATTATTTGTATGATCTAAAACAGGATTTTTCAGTAAAAGGGTTGTGAAACAGAAAACTAAGGAAAAAAAGCTAATATATTTAAGAAGGTAACTCTGAAAAAGTTAAATCTGGCTTCTCTGCACACAGTAGCCACGCTCTGGCACTTGTCTTTTATATACTGAAACATAAAAGCCAACATCTACGTGCTTAATATTTTGCGATAAATAATCCCAAATGTTTTAATTATGAAAGCGGAAACAAGCATACGATTCCACAAGGGAGCCAAACAAGATGTGCTCCCTTGTGGAGCTATTGATTTCCAGAGCCCACCCAAGAGCTGTAATCCATCCCAGTATCCAGAGGAGGGAGACCCTGAAAACAGGTTGCAATACCCATCCATCCCTTAAAGAGGACCTCTGGCTGGCCGGATTCCCTTACAACCCAGGAGTACCTGCTGTGCTGTATGCTACCCAGAGGAGGATATTTCATGCCCGGACTATCTTGCTTCCTTAAAGGGGACCTCTGAGTGTATATTTACATGCGTATTTCCAATACGCATCTGGTGAGTGCGTAATTTTACTACATCTTCAAGCACAAGCACCAAAGCATTTGCATTACTACAACTGGCACCTTAAGCACAGATTGTCACTTTATGAACTTTTCATTTGTTTATATTTAATTATTTATTTATATATCTCTTAGATTGTAAGCTCCGAGGAGCAGGGCCCTCCTATCCCTCTTGTATCGAACTGTATTGTTGCTGTATTGTCTCCCATTATATTGTAAAGCGCTGAGCAAACTGTTGGCGCTATATAAATCCTGTATAATAATAATAATAATAATAACATATATCTTATTGGGTCTTAATTACAGATATTATTATAATTATAAGCGCTGCACTTGGATCGTATATATTACTGAGGTTTTTATTTGGTTACCTTTAGTGCAATAGCTGCTTTTACTAGAGCGCTCACTGATTTACAGTGGGGCAAAAAAGTATTTAGTCAGCCACCAATTGTGCAAGTTCTCCCACTTAAAAAGATGAGAGAGGCCTGTAATTGGCATCATAGGTAGACCTCAACTATGAGAGACAAAATGAGAAAAAAAATCCAGACAATCACATTGGCTGATTTGGAAAGAATTTATTTGCAAATTATGGTGGAAAATAAGTATTTGGTCAATATCAAAAGTTCATCTCAATACTTTGTTATATATCCTTTGTTGGCAATGACAGAGGTCAAACGTTTCCTGTAAGTCTTCAAAAGGTTGGCACACACTGTTGCTGGTATGTTGGCCCATTCCTCCATGCAGATCTCCTCTAGAGCAGTGATGTTTTGCTGCTGTCGCTGGGCAACACGGACTTTCAACTCCCTCCAAAGGTTTTCTATGGGTTGAGATCTGGAGATCTGGAGACTGGCTAGGCCACTCCAGGACCTTGAAATGCTTCTTACAAAGCCACTCCTTCATTGCCTGGGCGGTATGTTTGGGATTACTGTCATGTTGGAAGACCCAGCCACGTGTGTTACTGATGGCAGCCTTTGTTACGTTGGTCCCTGCTCTCCACAGGTCATTCACTAGGTCCCCCCGTGTGGTCCTGGGATTTTTGCTCACCGTTCTTGTGATCATTTTGACCCCACGGGGTGAGATCTTGCGTGGAGTCCCAGATCGAGGGAGATTATCAGTGGTCTTGTATGTCTTTCATTTTCTAATTATTTCTGCCACAGTTGATTTGTTCACACCAAGCTGCTTGCCTACTGCAGATTCAGTCTTCCCAGCCTGGTGCAGGTCTACAATTTTGTTTCTGGTGTCCTTCAACAGCTCTTTGGTCTTCACCATAGTGGAGTTTGGAGTGTGACTGTTTGAGGTTGTGGACAGGTGTCTTTTATACTGATAACAAGTTCAAACAGGTACCATTGATACAGGTAATGAGTGCAGGACAGAGAGCCTCTTAAAGAAGAAGGTACAGGTCTGTGAGAGCCAGAAATCTTGCTTGTTTGTAGGTGACCAAATACTTATTTTCCACCATAATTTGCAAATAAATTCTTTCCAAATCAGCCAATGTGATTGTCTGGATTTTTTTTCTCATTTTGTCTCTCATAGTTGAGGTCTACCTATGATACCAATTACAGGCTTCTCTCATCTTTTTAAGTGGGAGAACTTGCACAATTGGTGGCTGACTAAATACTTTTTTGCCCCACTGTATATACTTTTTGATTCATTGTTCTATTTGTGTAAAGACCAGCCAAAAAAAACAGCGAAAAAGTTCTTAACTACAATATGTCACATCTTGTGTGCACTGAAAAAATGGCATACAGTCACTCTGTGGCCAAAAGAACTTAATGAAATCAAACTTTGTTAAATTTCAGTAAAGTTCACAGAAAAATAGTAAGCAGTGTAATGCGCCAGGATCAGCAGAATGGCACTGCTCATCCAAGTGCACACAGGCGCCTGTGCGTTCAGCTTGGCTGCTGGTCTGAATGAGTTTCTAAACTACACCGAAGCCAAAGCACCAGCATGACAGACAAGGAAAAAGCTTTTTCAACAAGAGAATTCTACAGTGACAGCCTTTTTCTGAAAATAGCTTACCTTTAAAAACAACTGCGAATTCAACCAAAATCAGAGAAAATTATGCCTTCCCACTAATTTGCAGCGTACGAGTCACATAGGTCGGTTGAGTTTGTGTTACTATATTGTGTAATCACACATATACAGTATAAGAACCACATTTTACAAATACATGAGCACATTTTATAGGAATGTTGTAAGAGCTGCACAGCTAATCAGCAAGCTCAGCAAAGAGAATATGTATGAAACAGCATGTGAAAGAAAGGAAAGCTAGACTCAAGTGGACACATACACAGTGATGCACAATACACAGATGATGCTATGCTCAGTAGATCTAACGTAGGAAAATATATATAAAGCACAGAGTATTACTTCCTGCTCTAACTTTTTTGGTATTTCAGTCCATGATGCGTCTGTCAGCACTCTGATTGGATGGGAGTTGATAGACAGGCTTGCGTTTAGCCCTTGTGTAATCAACTCAGTTCTGACCTTACCTACCACAAGCACAGGAAATGTATGTGTAGAAAGCCTTAACCCAGAGTACTCATACCAAATTTAACCGTGTCAGTTAACGTAACAACTTTTTAACTACTGGTAACTCCCTAAAAAAAACTTTTTTTTAAGGACATACAAGACTTTTTTTTATAAGCTAGCAAATGAACAAATATTTTATAACATATTTTTTTACATAAAAATATTTTTATGCTGTTTTGCACACTTTTTGATCTTTTTTCAAATGTATTGCTTTTTCACTCATTGGGTTTGATTTACTTAAAAACTGGAAAGTGCAAAATATTGTACAAGTCTGCATAGAAACCAATCAGCTTCCTTTTTTGTCAAAGCCTAATTGAATAAGCTGAAATTAGAAGCGGATTGGCTACCATGCACAGCTGCACTGGATTTTGCACTCTTCAGTTTTAGAAAATCAACCCCATTGAGTTACACTGCTGGACTTAAGCTGTCTTGGAGAGCCATTCTACTTTTTTATTTTAAGTTGGCAAATGGACCCCAATTTTATAAAATTGCATTTTTTCTGCACAATTGTGATTTTCTTTAACATACTGAATTTTTTACTCACTGTTTTACATAGCAACAGCAGCAGGCAACTGGCTTCAGCTGTCATTGAGACCATTTATTGATTTAATTGACAGCTGGAACTTGTAGATTTGTGTATAAATAAACCTGTGTGGTCAACATGACTGCCTGTTATGGTGATAACATGATTGGGAACCATGCTAGTTGGTTAACAGTTAGTGAAGACCAGCAGCTGTGCAACGGAATGTAGATCAATCCTTTCGCACAAGGCATATCTTGGTAGCAGCACTGCCTTTTACACACACACCTGGCTGCTGCAGTTGATGGGACTGTGTGTATGCTTGTTAAGCTGACAGTCAGCTTTCTTCCTTAACCAAGTTGATCAATGCCACAGGACGTAGTAGTGACACCCCCCCCCCCCCCCCTACAGGTCCCATAATGATGTGCCTCATTAGCTGCAGTAGAGCACATGGTAGACGTTAAGAGGTCGGATAGACCCCTGACGTCTCAGTAAAGATGACTTGTCACAATAAAATGTGCAATCACATAGAGGGCTATTGGACACTCATTTGATAGCAATAATGCTGTGTAACAGAAAAAAAGTTTAAAAAAATTAAAGTGTCAAATAAAAAAAAGGGAACATTTTTAAAGCCACTCTCTTCCCCACACACACGTATTGCATGAGTCGAGTGCCTACCTAGGAAAACAGCAATTATGCTACACACTATACACTGACCGGCCACTTTATTAGGTACACCTGTTCAATTGCTTGGTAACACAAATTGCTAATCAGCCAATCACATGGCAGCAACTCAATGCATTTAGGCATCTAGACGTGGTGAAGATGACTTGCTGAAGTTGAAACAAAAGCATCAGAACGGAAGAAAGGGATTTACGTGACTTTGAACATGGCATGGTTATTGGTACCAGATGGGCTGGTCTGAATATTTCAAAAACTTCTGATCTACTGGGATCTTCATGCACAACCACCATAGGTGAGCCTTGAAAGAACAAGGGATATCCAGTTACACTGCAACTCCCCTTTAGGGTAATTTGCTACATTTAGAATATACAAGGCCCACCATAGGATGCCAATATGCCACCAAACCATGGCTATAACTGTGTTTCTGTGTGCAATAGAAATCTTTCTTCCAGCTGAATGGCCAGGTCCAGGGATGTGGTTTAGGTGCCATATGGGTTGGTCTGAGTATTCAAAAACTAATGATCTACTGGGATTTTCATGCACAACCATCTCTAGGGTTTACAGAGAATGGTCTGAAAATAGAAATAGAAAATATCCAGTGAGTAGCAGTTGTGTGGACAAAACAGCCTTGTTGATGTCAGAGGAGAATGGGCATTCAATTTCAGTTACGACATTCAGATGGTAGGGTCAGAATTTGGCGTAAACAACATGAAAGCATGGATCCAACCTGTCTTGTATCAGCGGTTCAGACTGGTGGCGTAATGGTGTGGGGGATATTTTCTTGGAACTAGCAAGGTGTGCCTAATAAAGTGGCTGGTGAGTGTATATTGCTGCACACGCCAGAGTTAAAACAATTGTTCTAGGGCCATTATACATGGGTAACTCTAAACTGATAACCTGTAAGAGCTGTTAAACCATCATCTATGGTTATCATAGTGTACCGCAGTTTGTGATCATTTCTCGGGCATGCACAATGTTAAGACTTGAGGCGTGGGCCATTAATTTTCTCAGGTCAACCTCACCATTTTTTAAATTTTACAAAATTTGGTAATATGTCATGTTTTAGTGCACTACATTTACCTTTTTTTGTATTTATTACTGAAAATGTGCGTCTGATAAACCATTGCTTTATCTACTACTGTCTATTACCATTTTATTTTTCATAATCCCCGCTTTCTGTAAATAAATTTGTGAGTTTTAAATGCTATTTAGACATTTTTGCATTAGTGCAAAAAAGGCTCTGGCAGATATTTAAATTTGACATCCTTTTTAAACATACAGTAAGGAAAATAATTATTTGATCCCCTGTAGATTTTGTAAGGTTGACCACCTACAATGAAATGAAGGGTCTATAATTTTTATCATATGTGTATTTTAAATGATAGAGACAGAATATCAACCAAAAATCCTGAAAAAACACATGATACAAATGTTATAAATTGAGTTGTAGTTTAGTGAGTAAAATAAGTATTTGATTGTCTACCAACCAACAATAATTATGTCTCCCACAAACTGACTATGTGCTCATGTGGAACACCGATTAGTCCTGTCAATTTAAGAAGGTGCTCCTAACGGCAACTTATTGTGTGTATAAAAGACACCTATCCACAGAATCTCTTTCTTCCATTCAAACCTGACCATCATGGGCAAATGACCAAAGACCAGTCAAAGGACATCAGGGACAAGATTGTAGACCTGTACAAGGCTGGAATGGGCTACAAGACCATCAGCAAGAAGCTTGGTGAGAAGAAGACAACTGTTGGAGTGATTATTTGCAAATGGAAGAAATACAAAATAACCATCAATCACCCTCGGTCTGGAGTTCCAAGCAAGATTTCGCTTCATGGGTAAGGATGATCATGAGAAAAGTGAGGGATCAGCCCAGAACTACACGAGGAGCTTGTGAATGATCTCAAGGCAGTTGGGACCACGGTCACCAAACAAACCATTGGTAACACAATACGCCGCCATGGTTTAAAATCCTGCAGTGCCCGCAATGTCCCCCTCCTCAAAAAGGCACATGTACAGGACTGTCTGATGTTTGCCAATGAACATCTAACTGATTCAGAGAAGGATTGGGACAAAGTGATGTGGTCAGATGAGACCAAAATTGAGCTCTTTGGCATTAACTCAACTCGCCATGTTTTGAAGAAAAATGCTGACTATGACTCTAAGATCACCATCCCTACAGTCAAAAACGGAGGTGGAAACATTATGCTTTGGGGCTGTTTCTCTGCTAAAGGCATAGGCCAACTTTGCTGCATTGAGGGGCCAATGGAGGGGGCTATGTATTGTAAAATCTTGGATGAGAACCTTCTTACCTCAGCCAGAACACTGAAGATGAGTTGTGGATGGATCTTCCAGCATGACAATAACCCAAACAATACTGTCAAAGCAACAAAGGAATGGCTCAAGAAGAAGCACATTAAGGTCATGGAGTGGCCTAGCCAGTCTCCAGACCTTAATCCTTTAGAAAATATATGAAGGGAGCTGAAACTTAAAGTTGCCAAGTGACAGCCAAGAAACCTTAAGGATTTAGAGAAGATCTGTAAAGAAGAGTGGACCAAAATCCCTCCTGAGATGTGTGCAAACCTGGTAACCAACTACAAGAAACGTCTTACCTCTGTGCTTGCCATCAAGGGTTCCTATACCAAGTACTAAGTCATATTTTGCTTGATGATCAAATACGTATTTTACTCACTGAACTCCAACTCAATTTATAACATTTGTAGCATGTGTTTTTTTTTTTTGGTTGATATTCTGTCACTATAATTTAAAATACACCTATGATAAAAGTTATAGACCATTTCTTTGTGAGTGGGAAAACTTACAAAATCTGCAGGGGATCAAATAATTATTTTCCCCACTGTATAAACACTGTTCACAAATTGCATAAAATAGGAAATGACAGCATCAGCAAGACAAGAGCGTTTACCCATCTGACACATATCTATGTACACTTTTGTGCCTTTTTTTTGGCTGGTACTTCATTAAGCCAGAATATCTTCACCCACCTTCACTGGACTGATGTTTGCATTAGCAGCTGTATCATGAAGCAAAGAATCAGCATGAATTCTGTGCAAGCGTTCTGCAAGATCAGCATTTTGTTTTACTGCCTGCAATTTATAAAAAATACAGATAGCAATAATAAAATCGCAAAACACAGATTGAGGAGTTTTAGGAGCTATGGGTAGTAATTTTAGGAAATTTTAAACTTTTCTGCTCATTTGACATTTTTAATCAGCTATTTCAGTCAGGAACCAATTACGGATAAAATTGTGATAGCTTTATAATGATAAATATTGATTGAGTGTACATAGTATATAGTCCTTTGCAAGCCTTGTTTGCATAAGCAGGACACACATACAAAAAGCAGCAGGACATAAAACCAGCAAGTGCCTTGAGAATAAAGTGAAGTCAACACCAATGATCCTAGTGACTGGAAACAGCAAGCACCTTAGTTCATAGCAGCCAGTCAGATCCTCCCTTTTATTCTACCACCGGCACTAAGAGTATGAACAGGAGAATCTGATGGGCTGGTTTAGGCAACACAGCAAGTTCCTCATTTAGGTGCTTTTATACACAAGATTTGTTAAAGTATTTAATTTCAGATTTATAACCGCATTACATAAAATCTTACCACTGATAAGGCATTCTTCAAGCCCAGTATCTGAGCAGTTGGAGAAGAGTCTTGTTCGAATAGCTGCTTTAGTTTCTCTCGCTCAGCCAAGACTGTGCTATAAGCAGATTTTAATGTAAAATATGCTAAAAAAAATATATGAGAAAGGAAATGTCAGCTACTTGAAAAGCAGATCATATGCACTGCAAAATCTAAAGAGGTAACAAAAAAAAAATTGCTAAAGTGATGACTATTTTTAGGTGCAGTATTTAATTTACAAATTCATGCGTAAGCAGCACAAAACAGGTGCGTCAGTTGCCTCTAAGAACAAGTTGTATTTTAAATAACCACGTAACATAAACCCATTATAAATTTTCAAAATGTATAGCTCTTCCTGTGAAAATATTTACTACTGGAACAGTTATCACAGTGTATTTTTTACCAAAATTTGCATTTTAGTTTTGGATAGGGTAGGGGAGGGTTAAAGCCTCTATCAAGATACAATAAGAAATGAGATATTGGGTGCATTCATACCTGTGATTAGATGCGAGAACCCCAGCAAGGGGTTCCTGTGAATAACTGCAAGTAGGCAGCCCCACTGTAAGCAATGGGAGGTTGTCGGCTCTCACAGCTTATAGTGCACACTTGCTGTAATCTCTTAAAAAGTAGTTCCATGCGAGTGATCAGTCCTAAAAACATAACTGCTCGCTGGGGTTCTCGCATCTTCAGTGCCTTGAAAAAGTATTCATACCCATTGAAATTTTCCACATTTTTGTCATGTTACAAACAAAAACGTAAATATATTTTATTGGGATTTTATGTGATAGACCAACACAAAGAGGCACATAAGTGTGCAATGGAAGGAAATGGGTTTCAACATTTTTTACAAATAAATATCTGAAAAGTGTGGCGTGCATTTGTATTCAGCCCCCTACTCTGATACCCTTAACTAAACTCTAGTGGAACCAATTGCCTTCAGAAGTCACCTACTTAGTAAATAGAGTCCACCTGTGTGTAATTTAACCGGAGTATAAATACTGTTTTGTCAAGCACTCAGAGGTTTGTTAGAGAACATTTAGTGAACAAACAGCATCATGAAAGCCAAGGAACACACCTGACAGGTCAGGGATAAAGATGTGGAGAAGTTTAAAGCAGGGTTAGGTTATAAAAATTATCCCAAGCTTTAAACATGTCATAGAGCACTGTTCAATTCATCATCCGAAAATGGAAAGAGTATGGCACAACAGGTAACCTACCAAGACATGGATGTGCACGTAAACTGACAGGCAGGCAAGGAGAGCATTAATCAGAGAAGCAGCCAAGAGGCCCATGGTAACTCTGGAGGTGATGCAGAGATCCGCAGGTTGCATTCGCAGGTGTGAATGCATTCATAATCTCCCCTAAGTGAGAGGGAAGTCCCATCTTAGACAGTTGTCATTAACCACATGCCGCCCAGCCACTGTAGAAATACGGCGGCAGGGCTGGGCAAAACCACGTTTTAAAATGTGTGTTTTCAAAACAGGTAGGGGGCACGTGCGAGGCGTGCCGCCGCCCTACCTGTCCCGCCGATCACAGCCGCGGATGTCAGTCGCCGGGTCACAGCCGGTTGTTACCGGCTATGTCCCGGCGATTAGCAGCAATCAGTGACAGAGAGCACAGCTGCAGTAGATGTGCTCTCTGTCAGTTCCCTGACAGCTCCTGACACGCTGATCGGGACAGAAGAGTTTATCTGTCCCGATCAGCGGTGTTCCCTGTAGTACACACCCCCGCCCCCCTAGTAAAAACACTCCTCTCACACAGTTAACCCTTTCACTGAATAATAAAGTTAACCCCTTCCTCCCCAGTGCCATTAGTACAGTGTCAGTGTTTTTTTTTTTTTTTTTGCACTGATCACTGTATTGGTGTCACTGGGGATGTCAGTGGCCCCAAGTCAGTTCCCCCCAGTGTCAGAATGTCTGCCGCAGTCCCGCCATAAGTCTCTGATCGCCGCCATAAGTCGCTGATCGCTGCCATTAATATAAAAAAAAAATACCAGTATCTTTCACTCCATTTGTAAACGCTCTAACTTTCACGTAAACCAATTAATTTACACGTATTGGGGTATTTTGTAGCAAAGACGTGTCGCAGAATGCATTTTGGCAGAAATTTATGACTATATGTGATTTTTACATTTTTTTTTACTGGACATGTTTTATAGCAAAAAGTCCAAAATATTGTTTTTTTCCTTTTATATTGTTTATATTGTTTGTTTTTTTTATAGTGCAAAAAATAAAAAAGCACAGGCGATCAAATACCACCGAAAGAAAGCTCAATTTGTGGGAAAAAATGATGTAAATTTCATTTATGTACCGTATTGCATGACCGCGCAATGGTCCGTTAAACTAGCGCAGCGCTGTATAGCAAAAAAAATGGTGTAAATTGCCGTATCTATACCATAGTTTGTAGACGCTATAACTTTCACACAAAGCAATCAATATACACTTATTGGGATTTTTTTTTTACCAAAAACATGTAGCAGAATACATTTTGGCCTACATTTATAACTAACTTTGAGTTTACTATATATTTTTTATAGCTGAAAGTAAAAAATATCGTTTTTTTCTTCAAAATATTTGCTCTTTTTTTGTTTATAGCGTGAAAAATAAAAAGCGCACAGGTGATCAAATACCACTGAAAGAAAGCTCTATTTGTGTGAAAAAAAGGACGTAAATTTCGTTTGGAAGCAGCATTGCATGACCGCGCAATTATCAGTTGAATTAGTGCAGCGCCGAGTAGCAAAAAGAGGACTGGTCATTAAGGGGGGTAAATCCTCAGGAGAGCAAGTGGTTAAAAACATTTGTACACTTGGAAAATTTCCCTCTGACTCTTGTTATAATGATAGCTCAAAAACGATTTTCCCATTCTTTTGGTTTCATACACAGACTGCAATAAAAACTTTGCAGAGGGTTTTACCCTCCCCACTCTATCCACAACTAAAACAAAAAGAGTTTTTCCTTTCATAAACAATTTAATTCCCTAGGCTATTCCCCATACAAAATGATCTGCATCTTGAATGTGTCCACTTCACCCAGCTGTCCACAGTAGGTCAGAACCAAGAAAAAAAAAAAAAGTAACAGTAACAGTAACATCAGCCTGTATAAGATAGTGGAGATGTTTGCAGATAACATTTGGATGGTATCAGTTACTGGCCTATACATTAGCTGCTCTGCTACATCAAGGAATTCTGTTGTGTTTGAAAATTTAGTGACTTTTTAAATTTGACTGGAGTTCTTTATATTATAAGCACATTTGGCTGAGTTAATGCTCAATATTCTTGAACAATGCCCTTTAAGTGACCCATGTCTGAATATTGCTGAAGCACAGACAAAAAAACGAAAATCAACTAGTTTTAAATGGTCAACCAAGAATATGACATAATAAAATGATAACTTTATGATTATTTTACTGTACAGGGGAGCAGATTTGGATGGCAGAACATAAATCACTGAGAAGATCTATGTGTTCTCTGGTATACACAGACTGATAATGGGTGAGTATTGCAACATTAGCTGAGAAAAAATTATTAAAACTAAATTTCAAGGACAGTGAGTTTTTGAAGACATTACTAAGGAAAATGGATTCATAACAAGTCATTTCTTTTATGAGCGTAGCCCAGTGTTGCAGTGGGAAGTGGTATAGTGATAGAACTACGTCCTTGAACTGACAGGGAGTCCAGGGCTAATCCCCTTGCCTGATAAGCTGACACCCATCATCAGTACTTCCACACCACAGGAAGAAAGATTTCCCAGATTCTGTGCAAGGCTGGACACCCACCATTCTGAGGCCAACCTGGTCTTGATGCTCAGAGACATGAGGAGATTAAAGCACAGAGTCCAGAACACTCACATACAGAAGCCAATAGATGGGTATTCCAGGGCACTCCACTCCTGTACCTTGGACCGAAGGGCCTGAAGCTTTTCCAGGGGAAGGAAAATCATGCCACGGCTGTGTCCAGGATGAGACTCTTCCTTTTAGTGCAATTGCTCCAGGCTTCACTTCTAGAGCCTGAAGACCAAGCTGAAGTCCTGCAACACTTGCACAGTCTCTTTAACATTGGCCTGAGGCCATCTCTCAATGACTCCTGCAGCATCAGATCATCCATTTACCCTTAGAAAGGGAATTTCCCTGGTTCACAGAGGAGGCAAAACTGGTGTCAGCACCTTCTTGAATACTCGTGGTGCTGTGACCAGGTACACTGCAAGTTGCACCCAGCCAAGTGAGCTCATCAGTAGAACACCCCGATTACACCGGGTGCAACTTGCCATGCGATTTGCCATGTGAGTTGCAAATTGCATGGCAAGTTGCACCCTATTGTTCGCAATTAAAGCGGTCGTATCGGTGCGATTCCGACTTGGTCGGAGCCACACCAATTTCTAAAGTAGTGCATGTACTACTTCAGGTGCGACTTGCATAGGCATCTGGGCAGATGTCTTGCAAGTCGCACCTCAAGTCAGAATGATATCCAACTTTGAAATCGTGCGACTTCAGTGGAAATCGCACGATTTTGAAGTCAGATTGGTGTGACCAGGACCTAAGGTAAGCAAACAAACCAAACAGGGAATATAACTATGCTAATAACTAGTTAAAACAACAAAACATTTGAAAGTGTACAATGCCTTTAAAGCAGTAGGAACCCTAATGCAAATCATGAACTGGGTCTCTGGACTTCCCTACACTTTTTTGGCAGAAAAAATTTCTGCTATTTGAGGAACAATCTTTCATTCATCTGAGCAGTTAGACCAAGTCTTATGTCAGTAAGTACCCTTAGATATTTGAGGATTTGTGTGCTTCTCACCTTTGTGTGCAATATGACACAAGTCATCCTGCATCTTGGAGAAATTGGAATTGTCAGAGCCATTTGAGTATTGCTTTTCCTCTGTATAATCTATTGTAGATAAATTAGGATTGGAAGCATGTAACCTTACATTCCCAGAAATTGTTGTTGGTACCTGGAAAACAGAGGCTAGCTAGTTATTAAGCGCTAATAGATACCCAAGACGCATTGAATAAACACAACAAATATGTATGAACATGACTGGCAAGCTGTACCAATAGGAATGTTTTACACATTTGACTTGTATGAATGGAGTTATTGCTTGTTTCATCCTTTGGTAGGATGTCTCACACAGAACAAGTGATGAGACATCTGTCTATTCTTGAAAAAAGTTCAGCATTGCTAATTTAATTTGTATTTCTATAGCTAAGATTTAATGTGATGAACAGCATGTAAAAGTTATGTGACTCTTGGGTGAAAACATTATATAAAGAGACCCCATAATAACAAATGGTAAACCTCTGTGTACAATAAAAATTAATGTGTATTATCAGGAGACCTATATGGCTTAGTCCTAGCTGGGTAAGGATTGGGCTGTGCACGGCCATTCTTGGATCAGTTAAAAATACTATACATAGATGATCAGGAAGAAGCAATCTGCATTTCTTATGTTTTACTATAACACTGCAAAGCTGATGGGAACCAGTATACAGAAGGCGTATCCTATGGACTTTCAAATAATGTCTCTGTAACTAAATTATTTTTTATCAATACATCAACCATTTATCATTCTGTTGGCGAAAACTTTACCAGGAAAAAAATCTGGAGAAAACTGCTTTTTCCTGACTCAGGGCAGTGAAGTGGATCCTTTTCAGCTTTATTGTAAAATAAACACCCTAGAACTAGTGTGTGGTTTGAAGACAAACAATGGTAGCTTTAAGATTTAAGTGAATTTGGTAACCACATGGCTGAAGACAACTATCCTTGTCCTTAAACCCTGTTGTCCTGTGCAGTCCATTGATTCACAGGTCCAGGCTGTACATGTGACCTTGACTGCTACACAAGTTGGGATTAAATACTACCCTTTGATGAAGTTCAGTTTTACTTCTAGCCATACACATTCTAACAAAAGCACCAGGGCAATAAAGACTCTGATATTTTGTAGCCAAACGACAAACATGGGGGTTGAGGTGCAGGAGGAGGTAAGTGAGGTTTTATCTAGTCTTGAATATTATTATTATTATTATATTATACAGGATTTATATAGTGCCAACAATTTGAGGGCAGACAGTACAATTACAGTACAATTCAATACAGTAGTAAACAGAGGGCCCTGCTCATTGGAGCTCACAATCTAAAAGGGAGGGTCAATTGATACAAAAGGTGATAACTGTGGGGGGTGAGGTGATGGAGAAAATAAAGCACAGATATTAGGTGGGGGCAGGAAAGGCTTTTCTGAAGAGATGGGTTTTCAGAGATTTTCTAAATGTAGACAGAGTAGGAGCATGCAAGGAAGTGACAAGGGAGATAGAGAGCAGGAGGTCTTGGGAGGAATAAAGATAACTATTTGGTTGGTATTTTGAGACTAGGGTAGTGATGTAGCTGGGGGCCGAGTATATGACAAGATCTTATGTACAACCTGAGCCTAAGATCCAAGAAGGCTTCAGAGGGATCAATTAGGAGACTAGCACAAGTACTTTCAGGTACCACAAGGTGCTGCACTTTAACACTGTTACCTTAGCAATGTTTTGGGCCAGGGCAGGTTTACCTTAATGACAGATTTCCAATTAGAAATAGTGTTGGGGCCAGGTAACCTGAGGCATCTCTCCCTCACTCCTTAGACTGAAAACAACAATAATTTATTTAAAGATTACTGGCACAATGAAGTAGCATGAATCTTTTATACACTCAATTTACATGTATAGATGTAATCTCTGCTCACCATCCTTCAATCTACCCACCTTAGATTTTTGAGTTGTGACGAAGGAAATACATATTTAGTGAAGATAATTCTGTATGATGTGGTCTATGCTGTATTTGAGATTATGGTGTTTTGGTTCCTTTTTCTCTACACCATTTTAGCTTTTAGGGGCCTTTTGTTTTTTTTTTTTTTAAAAGGAGTGGGGCAATCTGTATGTCATTTTATTAAACACTATTTTTGGAATCACGGATGCCTACCATCTCCAGTCAAATACATGAAAGATCACACACCTAACTGGTATACTATATAAATGGGGGCTGATTTTTGAAAGTGAGAGTATTTTTGGGTAAAAGTGCCAGACACAAACAATAAATTGGGACAAATAGACAAGATAGGGAGGCTGTTTAATGAGTAACTAGGTTCTAACATAGTGATGTACTCACCATGCAAATTAGTTTTTTCAAAGTCCTTTTACACCTCTTTCTAAAGGTGCCATAACTCCATAAACGTAAACAAATATGGCTAAAAATTGTTACAAAATAGCCAAAGTAGCAAACTGATATATTCCCTTGGGGAAAAATTTAATTTGCATTAATAAATACACAACTTTAAAAAAACCAAATGAAGAAACAAACAATATGCTGTGAACAGTCACAACAGTTACACTGTAAGTAAACAGTTACAGATTAATCAACAGAAAAATCTAGATATGTAGACATTAGAATGTGGGGTAGACTGGAGAGTTTCACAAGTCAGATGAGCAACAGGTAAGGAATTTCTGACATTTGACAAAGATGATCAACAACTGTAGTGTACATAAACTGCTAGATGTTCTAACAGAAAGTCTAAGCAAATTATCTAAAAATTGGTAGTGGCTTCTACATGCCTTTTTTTCTAATCCCCCCTAACCATCTCCTATTCCCACCTTGATTCCAACTGAATCCCTTCTAAAAGTTGTACTACTAGTTGAGGGAGGTTGGAACATCCCATCCCTGAATACACTTCAGGCCCTGTACGCGACTATAAATGCTTTAGGACAAGTTGCCACCCTGGCAGTCTCTATCTGGGGGTGGCATTCTACTGTTAGCACCACCAGATGGGTCCCACCTATTAAACCGTAAACAGACTTAGCAGCTTGACCATCATTTTCTACAACCAAAAGATACCTGTTGGCAATACCTGATGGTTTGCAGCACACCTGTCAAACTTTCTGAACTCTTCTGGGGAACACCAACTCTCCTTTGTTTTGTGTGTTTTATACTGTATGGTAAAGAATAATTCCAGGCATGGATATTTTACATATAGTTAAATTGGTCCAGCTTGGACCATGTTTAAAAAGATTTTTTGCTATACTGATGTGCGTTAACAAAAACGCAAAAAAAAAATCTAAATGGAAAAAAATATATTGTGGAAATGTTCTATTTTGGCCCAACAAACTCATAGAAACAGGAAATGCTTTATCATACTTGTTTACATTAAGCCACAATGTCAATGCACAAGCAACATAATGTCACTGACCATAATTTCATTGTACTGTTCAGAATTAGATCATATAAACACGCACACACAAAGATATACAATTGAAAGACCAACATCTCTGACTTTTCTGCTAGATCACTAAAGCAGTTAAACCTGACATGCTTGATTATAGAAAAATCACAAAAATACTGATTACCTGCAGAGAACCTTTTGAATCTTTGTTTATCCCTTTTGTCCGCCACTTCCTCTTGTTTACTTTTTCTTTTTTTGGACTTTCAAGAGCACCAGCCTTTTAAAAACATATTAGCATCAGTACTGTACCATACCAGGGATTAGACCATTCCTTACATATGTCAACATATTGTAGGTGTAGTATTTGAATTTATGAAACAACAAATCTAAAATACTGAACCCTATTCTCCTAAATCTTAATTTTGTATTTCCTTAACTAGTGACACAGTTTATTTCATATTTTAAAGACATTTAAATAGACAGTCTTTCCAAAATGAATATTTCAGTTGTTTTGGGAGACTGGAGATATATATCAACAGACAATTTCTTTCAAAGTTTCCCACTTGTCCTGATGGATTTTTAATTTACAGTATATTATGCAGTTATGGTAGAAAGATCTTGTTGTTGGAATATCCAAGACATACAAGAATTCAGGTTTTGTCCCAGCCAAGACTGGAGGACTTAAAAATATATTGAAAGTAATTTACACCAATGCACCCCTTTGTCCATCCTCCTGATTACCAGTGCCTCGGAGGTACTGCTGAAAACCAATAAGAGGAGGATGAGTGTTATATATATGTCCATAAGAAGAATTCTATTAATTGTGACCTATAAATGAGAACCTAGCTGTAATAGAAATGCAGAAATAAGTGATCTTGCTTTAAAGGATAAGGACACCTTTGGAACATGTTACACCAGTATTTACAGTGTAACATGTTCCAATGTTCCAGCAACCCCCCCCAACCCTTTCTGTGGAGGTGGGGGGGGTGGGGGGTGTCTTCTCCCATGTAGCCACCGTCACACTTTAAACTGGCACGTATGCGGACACATCACCCATTCACAAAGATCTGTAAATAATCTGTGAATGAAGTAACTACAAATTTCAAAGGTCAGTGTCTACGGCTGACCTGGATAGAGGTTGCAGCCTAGACCTGGAATTGAATTAAGAACTTTGTACTTTAGTATTTTTAGTTTAGGCAGTTTTAAGAAGCTGAAAGGCTCAATATAAGGTTAATGTTTTATGCCATTTTTGATTCATTTTTCTGTATTGGCCCATTCACACAAAACATGTTGGGACAAGCAGTTCTCAATATTGGACTACCTGGATGGCATTTATTGCAGGGGCAGAGTACGTCCTATGAAGAACCTCCATGTTTTGCAGCAGTTGACTCATTTCCACCAAATAACCCTGACACTGTGAAAGGTCTGTTGGCATAAGAGAACAAAATTTATCAATTAGGAAAATGCAACTGACACAAAAACACAAATGGTATAGGTCTACTAGCTTACAGATATTGTTCCCCTTTTCATTTGCATGAGAAACATACATCAAAGCTGAAAATATGAATTACACAAATTAGTGCACCTCTGTATTCATTAACACAAAATTAAATGTATTTTTCTTCTTTTTAATACAAGCAGTGTTGGTGCCTAAATTTGAATGATCATCCTCTTACATTTCTTGTACAGCAGAGTTCAGTCAGTGAGAGAGAGAACCAGCACAAGGTGTCAATTTCTGCTGCATTGCATGGACAAGATGCTAAGAGAAGAGAGCAGAGTGGCATTGATGAACTCATTAGTCTGCTACTTCTCCTTCCAGTCACAGGTTAGAGGAAGGGACAAGTCCTTTAAAAGTTACTGAACTTCACCAGAGAAAATCAGGTCTCCTCCCCTGCCAGCCAGGATTGTGCAATGTGGTTCAAATCTCAGAACCGGCTGGATATGAATACAAATACGTTGGCAGGTAAAAACCCTTCCATATATGTATTTCAATGGTGCATTTAGCCATTTGCCTGGAGTTCGGTCCTATCTAAAACTGGCCATACACTGATTGAAAGTCAGCCAGTCCAGCAGGAACTGCTCGAATTTCAATCAGTGTGTGGTCATCCCTATTTGCAAGCTGGAAAACCTTTGCCGATCAGCGTCTTCAGTCATTGATCAATGCATTCTGACAGCAGGGAGTCCCACTGTCAGAATAAAGCATCCTGGTGGAGGGGATTCCTCCATCCAACTCATTCATTCCTTTTTTTTTTTGCTCAGCTTAACCGCCTTATAAAAAACCAAAAAAACAGTGTATGTCCAGCTTTACTCTTAGTGCCTAGTTCAGCTGCCTTATGCTGGGTACACACTATCAGTTTTTTTTTTTGTTGCTCAACCCAGTGGGCTGAAATAAAAAAATGAAGAGCTCCCGCAGGGCTTGACTTACTAACTATTTAATGTTAGTACAGTGATCTCCCCGCTGAGCTACTGTGTTCTGAAAGGGCTGTCCCCCCCACCAGAACACACTGGTCAGAGCTCGCAGCCATTGGCAGCCAGCACTGATCAGATGCTGGTTTTCCAGCATGCCAATTCAGCTGGATTCTGTCAGACAGGGTGGTGTACACAAGGGCTGAATATTGGCTGGTTTCTGTTGATAATGAAAAGGAATAATGAAAAGAGCAGCAGCACATTCATTAAGAAATCCCCTCCTGCAAGCATGTTTGGTGTTAAACTGACAGCATCGTGCAAAGTATCAGAGCCCTAATTAGTTTAGAGCAAGTTTGCTGGAGGCTACAGCAGGATGACATCAACACATCTTTACATAACAAGAAATATTTGTCGGAAATATTTGTCTAGAGCAGGGTTTTTTAAACTGGGGTGCCGCAAAGAGTCCTCGGGGTGCCACGGCCACATCCCAGTCTAAGTGTCACTGTGTTAACCCCCGTGCACTGCAACTCTGCAAGGACAGAGAGAGCACAGCCAGCACAACTCTCTCTCTCCTCCCTGCAGCTACGGGTACTATTGTCTGCAAAGCAGAAAGCTGCACGGGCCCTCCGTCCGCATCCTACCAACTGATTACATCATCGGTTGTTAAGGACATATTGGGCGGCACTACACCTTTCTACAGCAATAATACCTGTATCTGCAGGGAGGAGGAGAGAGTCGCGCGGGCTGTGCGCTCTCTCTCTCTCTCTCTCTCTCTCTCTCTCTCTCTCTCTGTCTCTCTCTCTCTCTCTCTCTCTCTCTCTCTCTCTCTCTCTCTCTCTCTCCCCCCCCCCCCCCCCCTCGCAGAGTCGCAATGCATGGGAGTTGTGCTAAGAGGGGGAATTTGAGGGGATTGAGCACAACCCATATTTGTGCTGGGGGGGGGGGATTTGAGGGGATAGTGCTAAGAGAGGAGATTTGGGCAGTTGGAGTTGGGTTTGTGCTAGGAGTGGGGATTTGGGAACAGGGGGGTTTGCGCTAGGAGGGGGGATTGGGGGGGTGATTTGAGGGGATAGGGCTGGGAGAGGATATTGGGGGGGTTGGAGAGGGGTTTGTGCTAGAAATGGGGATTTGGAAACAGAGGGGTTTGTGCTAGGAGGAGGGAATTGGGGGGGGGGGGGGCTTGAAGGAGGGATTTGGCTGGGAATTTGTGTCAGGAGGGGGATTTGAGGGGGTTGTGCCAGGAGAGGAGATGGGGGGGGGTGGAGCAGGATTTGTACTAGGAGTGGGGATTTGGTAGCATAGGGGAGGGGGATTTGGTGGGATTTGTGCCAGGAGAGGGAATTTGGGGGTGGCTATGCACTAGAAGGGGAAATTTGGAGGGAGAGAGAGCTAAAACCTAAGATCACTGAACATTAAAAAAAAAAAAAAAAAACGGCATGCTCAGACACTTCTCCTGCTGTGATCGAGCCCCCAGACTGGTGTGCTCCGGGATTGTGCACAGTTCTAAACGGTGTCTTGACTGAAAAAGAGGTTGAAAAACACTGGTCTAGAGTTTGGCAATAAACTTCAAAATCTACAGGAGAGAGCTGTTGAGTTTGATGCTCTGGATTATGCTCTGTGCTTGGAAACTGCTGATATTTATGTATGAATATATTATATTGTATTCATTTTTATTATGGCTTCAACCTGAATTTTGTAATATACTACATCTGCCCCATTGTGTTTACCATTGCAATGTTTACCTACATGTAATTTTTTAAACAGTTTTCACATTTTTACTTGCTTTTTGTTGATGATTACCTGTATTTATATTAGTGTTGCTTTTAACAGTTACCAGGGAATGTAAGAATCTATGCTGAAAAAATACCCCTGTCAAGTTTTTAAAATCTCAAACTGGCTAGAGAACAAAATTACAAGCGACTTTCTGGGCAGCATGAGATTCAAATCCCATGAGCTCTAACATGCAAATACTGACACTGCTCTAGAATGCTGTCTCCAACACTTTGTGACTGGATAGTAAGGTTGTTCATCATAGAATGAGCCAATAGGAAGGTGCAGTAGGTGTGGCAGCTTTCTGCACCTCTTACGCAATTTGCGTATTAGAGCTCCATAGGATCTCATGCCACTCAAGAGGACATTTTTAGAAAACCTACAGGGTATATTTTATGGACTGCCGAGATAAGCCTTAAAAACCTTGTAAACCTTACAAGACAGACTGTTTTTTTCCCCAAACACAAACTGTACACATAATACGTTTTTTTTAATATATGTGTTCTCATTATAATGATATAAACTTTACAACCTACATTTACATTAGCCAGCTTTGGCTCTAAAAAGCAATGGTTTTGGACAGGCAGTCAGAGGACTATGATATGTCACCTCATCGCTGCCTGTTTTAACCCCAAAAATGCTGCCTCATCATGCCTTAACCATGTACAGGGGGAACATTTTTGCCATGACATGTGTAAACCCCTGTCCAAAGTCTAAAAAGGGAGTGGTTTGGGTGGGGGCGTTAAAGACACAGCCCAACCGTGTGTTTTACCTTCTCTCAACTGCAACTCTAAACAAGCCCACACTAACATGTTCAGATTATGAAAAAACTGTGAATAAACTAGAATATAAGTTCTGACTGAACAAATAAGGCTAGCTGTGCTACTAAGGAGTGAAAGTCTTTCAAAGAATTTCCTAAATAAACTGATATTCACCTTAAAGGGTTATTTCACCTTTTCAGAAAAAAAAAAACAAAAAGCTGAACTAATATTGTACACCTCCCTTAACCCCCTGCTCCCTGTGCCCATGCAGCCACTGGATTTCAAATCCCCCTTTTCTTTCTGCAGAGCTTTCAAGGCAGATCATGGCAATGCCCTATGCTGGCGCTGACCAATCAGAATCGCTATAATCCATACCGAAAGCCTGGCAGAAAGAAAGGGAAGAAGAGTGGGGAATTCAAATCCTCAGATCACTGCATGGGAAGTGAGAACTCATTACCCATGGAGGTAAGTAAATCAAGGACTAGGGGGTGTACAGTTTAGGTTCCCCTTTCACTTTTTCTGAAAAGGTGAACTTACACTTACACTTTAAAGCTAAAGAAGAAGGTACAATGGACTCTAAGTGAAAAACAAATCAAGCAACAATTCTGTATTAAAAATTCATAGCCTTTTATTTCTAGGCGCCATCTCCAGCTTCACTGTACTTTGGTACCTTTAGCACATTTATCCATATCATCGTTAGACTGGAGCCAGGCTGGGACTCGGCTGCCTGCCAGCTTCAGTGAATTCTGTCTGGTGAAGTGAGTTTCCTGTAGTAGTAAGCAAAGTAAAAAAAAAAAAAATAGTGTTGTTAGTGTAATGCATTCATTAGGCTTGATGTGACGGCTAATTATAAAGATCGAGTGTGTAACTTGCTTAAATATGCACAATATGTACCAAAACAATATAGAATATTCATACAACTTCTGCTATGAATATATAAATTCAAAATATATTGCAACTAACCCAGTGAATTCTGGAAGAAGTGAAGACATACATGCGGCAAAGAGGGATCTGTAGGAGTCCCAGATGTACACAAACAGGAAGAAGCTGCTACATCACAACATCGCCGTCTTAAGATTATATATCTGAATTTTTTTTTGTTACAATCTCATAATGCAAATAGTAATGTTATGGGCAAAAATCAAGCAGCAGGTGGAATAGATACTTGAACAGTAATGGGGTTTTCAGTGTTGAGAAGAAAATGTGTTTAGGTTGGCTATACATTATACAATTTTCTTGTACAAATTTCCTTTAGATTTACCAAAAAAACCATACAATATGAGGTCAAACCTAAACACTTTCAATTTGTGTGCAATCAGGCAGGCCCTTGCATTTCAGTATGGCCAGCTTAACTATGACATTTGCATGCTCACAACAAACTGCTTTACTGGATCTTCCAGGCATCACACCAGAAGAGGTTAAATACAACTCCCAACAAATGTTTGTTTTTCTAGGTTTGGATAGAGTGGGGGAAAGTACAGAACCTCTGCCTTTTGTCCCGGTGATGGGAAATGTAAGGAAAATCCAACACTTTACAGCTGTCAATGGAATAGGAGCAGAGGGGAAAACTCTACGGGGGCTCCCATTTTAAAGACAACAGAAGTGGGTTCTTTCCATTATGGGGGGATTTCCACTTAATTTCTATCTTATCTCTCAGAAGAGAGAGTGATAACACCTCTCTGGTGGAGGCACAAAACACAATAAAAACCTTCCCATTCTAACCAAAGCTGAAAGATCCAACTGTCTATGAGATAACGGCACAGTGCTCATACAACTGGCTATTGTGGATCCAAACAGGCAACACCAGCCATCTCAAAGAGAAAAATGAGGTGGGGATGGGGGGGGGGGGGTGGTTAGCAACCACTAACCTCCTTAAAATGCAGCTGAGGCCTGTTATGATGACCCCCTAAGTTTATTACTCCACTCCCCAAGTCACTGATCTGAAACAAGACTGCAGGTCAGGAAAGTCAGAAAAAAGTCCTTATCTTAGTAATTGATCTGGTTCATTGATTTATAGCAGTGTTTCTCAAACTTTTTTCTGTGAAGGCACCCTTTAAAATTACGGACAGTCTCAAGGCACCCCATTCTAAAATTTAAAAAAAATACTCTAATAGTTTTATTTGCATCAATATCCACACATGTAGAATACCAACGTTAAAGGCGATTTAATCTTCTAAATCAAATACACTGGTACAGACTAGTATTCCAGTGTTTCTCTTCTCCCTATTTTTCTCAATCACTCAGCTAATGTGACCCTAGTGTGGACAGAGAAGGGTAAGGGAGGGTCAAACAAGGATGCTGTGCAGACGACCAACATCCTCCTTATCAACTGATGTCGTCACTGGTTGTTGGTATGCTGGTGGACAGAAGGTTGTAATGGTGCACAATGAAAACCTGTGGCTTTGTGTAACTAAAAGGCAGACTTGATCCACCTGCTGGGTGGTATACAATTTTTGGGCATTTTGTCAAAGCACCCCTGAAGAAACCTCCAGACACCCCGGTTGAAAAAGGCTGATTTAAGGTATTGAAGCAAGAGAGTCAATATGGCTGACCCTGTGTTTTGTCTTTACTTTTACATGCAAATCTTGTATTTACCCCAGGAAGACAGATGCTGATAGAATAAATCACATTCCATAAAGCAGTAAGGTCACTTTTCTGGTGGTATGGCCCCTTTAACATGACCTGCGTAAAATTCATGAAAGCCAGAATCTGTCACTATGGCTAAGAAGAAATACTGCTGGTTCCCAGAAGAGCAATCTGGAAGAAATTAAGGCAAACTCCAGGTGGGGGGTGGGTGTTGTGTGGCCATTACTTTATTAATATATTTGCAGGTGTTTTTAATGTACATCACTGGTTGCTAAGACAAAGATCACCCACATGCTAGCAACCAAGGACACAGGTCACACTGAACTGATAGTGGGTGGAGCCTGTTTGGGATCTCGGAGACTATTTCCCCATCAGGTACGTCTTGGCGTTGATTGACAAAAGATGGCAGTGGGTGGATTTTATAACTGCTGTTCAGTTCAAGAGCAGATATGGAATATGCCCACTGCCATCCCATGTCAATCAGAGACAGGGAGGACCTGATGGGAAACTTGTCTCTTAGTTGCCCATCAAGCTCCTCCCACCCTGCAATTCATATTCCCAGGTGCTGTACCTGTTGTGTGGGAGGAGCCTGATGAGGAAATCTGTGACTAGTTCCCCATTAGGACCGCTTGCCTGTGACTGACACACTGCATAAGGTGTATTCAAAAGCCGCTAATGGACAGAATAGTGACCATCGATTCACTCACTGCTGTGCATTGTCAACCAACAGTACAGCGGACGTAATGGGGAACTAGTCTCTCAGTGCCCCACCAGGCTCTGCCAGGTCCACTGAAAACTCCTTATCCATGTGCCTATCAGTGTACAGGGTGCAACGGCTGGGGAGCGTGTGCGCTGAAGAAAGAGTGATCAACTGATTTATGTGCCTGTCCCTGACAGGTACATGAACAGACCGAGAGCACTATCACTTTTGGTGCTGCATCCTGACGAAGTTCTAAAGGGTGTCTACGACGGCATTTATGAATTTACCGGGTTGTCTTTGTACATCTGTACATCCCTGCCAGAGTTCTCTGCCTCTCCACAAATCCTCCGCAGCCAATACAAAGCCAAACAAAGAGAGTGTCTGTCTCCCTAGCAGGGTGCAGGTCTCCTTGTACACTTTTCATATCTGAAAATGAAAATCTGTTCATCTGCTCATAGTAGCTACAAAGGATAGGTGGACCTAGCTGACTGTAGAAGGTGGGCAGCCACAGACAGTTTACCTGCACAGTCATTAAATGATATAAAAACCCATGGTTGATCTACCAAAACGAAGCATGAACTCTGGGTGGACTGGTGCTTTAATAAAAGGATTGCAGCTGTTCCAGCACAAGAACAGCAGTGGATATCATCATATCAAGCCTGTTATTACTGCTGTTCTTTCAATTTTGAAGAAGATGGAGTGATATCTTGGTGCACAGCTGTATGCTGGAATTACAGGTTTTCTACAGAGCAGACAAACTACGGTCCACCTAGAGCCAAAAACACATCCATCACCGCCTGTACACAGGTCTTGTCAATGAGCCAATCAATCAACAATAAAAGCAACTACGCAGGAGAGCACCATGGAAGTAATTTAGCACAATGCCTGCATGAACAACGGCAGAGATGTTACCAAATGAAAATCTAAGAGAAATATGCCCATAGAAATGAAGAGATCATTGCTCAATGTCACTAAGGTTTGTATTGGGAGAAAACTGCATATCTATCAACATTATGCAGCCTGGCAGTCTTGTCTGAAAAATCTCTGCAGAAGGACCAATTGGCTAGAGTGGAATTTTCCATTCATTTGCTTCTCTTTATCTGAAAGTTTGGGTGGCTGTACATTTTCTATAGTCTGCTCTGTGGGCACCTTAAAGTGCTACTAAACCCACAATAGTACAATCAGTCTGTATATACAGTAAAGCATGCTTGTTATACTCACTGTGGAACCTAAGGGGCTAATCTTGTGCATTGTGTAAAAACGCTGTTTGATCCTGACTTCTCTGATCCTCCCCTTCTTCCAGTGTCCCCCACTTATCTTCTGATAAGGCATTGTGTGGAGATGCTCTGCACATGCTTAGTTTGGTGTGTGTTGCTAGAGAGGTTTTTTTTTTTTTTTTGGGAGAGTGCATGTGATCAGCACAGGGCCAATCAACACTGTCCGGACAGAGATCTGCATCCTGCTAGAACAGAAAAAACTCCTCCTACAAGCTTTAACCAGTACTCAGCTGGACACTGATAGAAGTCACAAGACTACTCTAACTGCTGATGGGAAAAGACATTTAGCAGTTTATATTTACTAAAATACCTGCATTTCCATGTTCTGTGCACTATGGAAGACCAGATATAGTGAATGCAGGGTCCTGGGTTTAGCAACACTTTAACCTCTTCCCGTCTGGCCGATGTCAATAAACGCCTCCCCACATCCATTGCCTGTGCGCGCTCAATGGGAGCTGTGCACAGATCAATGTACGGGACTGCTGTGTGAGGTCCCAGTTCATGCGATCAGTGATTGGCCAATCAGTGATCACTTGAATAGTAGTAAACAAGATGTCACTTCCTGACATCATTGTTTACTACTTGTGAATTCTGTGAATGATCACAGAGGTCACATGGTACAAGGCTATTCACAACAGCCTTGTACCATGTGACAAGCTGTAGCCAATCACAGCTCTCACAGTATTTCTCAATGGCTGCAAGAATGTAGCCAGGGAGAAGGAGAAAGGATTGCTTTTACAGCCTTCATAGGTGTAAAAGCAATCAGTGTTAAAAAAAAAAAAAAAAAAAAATCATCACCCCCGACAAGTGATGACACTGTACTGCTAGGGTGACAGTATGCAAAAAATGAATAAATAAATCTAAAAAAAAAAAAAAAAGAAAAGAAAAATGTAAAAAGAAAAATTATATTTTTTTTATGAACCAATTTGGGTTTTTTTTTTTTTACCAAAAAGAGAGCTCTATACATTTTGGCCAAGTTTAATGAAAAAAGATTATATATTTGCAAAATTTTATAAGAAAAACTTTTAAAAAAAAAAGTTTTGGTCTTTTTCATTTAAATAGCAAAAAAAAAAAAATCCCAGCGGTAAATAAAATACCACCAAAAGAAAGTTATATATGTTTCCAAAAAATGGTAAAAATGTCATTTGGCTACAGTGTTGCATGATCGCACAATTGTCTTTCAAAGTGAGACAGCACTGAAAGC